TTACTCAATCTGTGATAGATGCAGAGGTCTAGAAGTAACACAGATTAATCTGAGGAGGAAAGGATCATTCTTTTCACAGGGGATCAACAGAATCCATCAATTCTATGAAAACCCTAAAAACTCATGTAGGAAGCAAATACAGAGTACAAGGCAGATACCATGTGTAACAGGCAGTGTCAGTGTTGTGGGACAAGAAAATCTCACAGGCACAGGCAGTGTCCAGCTATTTTAAAAAGGATGCTTTATCTGTTATGCAATGGAAGAAAATATATTAAAGTAGCCATGATGTGGAGGTACCAGTGTCGGACTGGGGTGGACAAAGTCAGAATTCACATGACACCAGGTTACAATCCAACAGATTTATTTGAAATCACAAGATTTCAGAGCGCTGCTCCTTCATCAGGTGATGGAGGAACAGCGGTTTTGAAAGCTTGTGATTTCAACTTAACCTGTTGGACTATAGAGATAACAAGGCGTAGAGCTGGATGAACACAGCAGGCAAAGAGCATCAGAGGAGCAGGAAAGCTGACGTTTCGGGTCTGGACGCTTCCTCAGAAATCATTTCTGGAAGAAATGTCAAATATACTCCAAGGGGAAATAAGTGAACCAAATCTTTTTGGCAAAAATATATATATGTCAATGAACATCTTGCTAATTTCAAGCTTACTACAAGAGTGAACATCATTATAGCATCTGACAGTGTATCTTCATTGAGGAAATATTACTTACAGCTGATGGCAGTCCAACTCCATGGTCCAGAAGTGTATAAAGTTGTGTGAAGGTAAGCTGCAAACAATTCTGCAAAACAAGAAGTTTCAGTTTGTGGAGAGTTTGTACATACTACACAATGTAGAATTCTGACTCTCAAGCACGAATGTATGTTTTGACCCGAATCTTCTTCAAATGGTGGAAGAAGGAAAACTAACTATAGTCAAGAAACCATTATTCAAGGAACACCAAGTCAGAGAGTAACAAGTCAAAGTAATTTCAGTTACTAAGCAAACACCCAAGTGCCAGCGAGTGGCGATTTCAGACGACTTCCTAGACCCATGATAGACCCCTAACAGAATCTGTTGAGATTAGCTACGTTGGCATAAACATGCTGTTCTCTACTCTCAGCAAGAAGCCTGTGACTATAAGTCTAATGAGATAGTAATATTTTAAAATCCTCAACTAAAATAATTCAGATTACAATTGAGCTTACTGAATAGATGCTGAAGCTTGATGTCAGATGCAGAGAAGGTGCAAGTTCAAACTGAATTTCATTGCTGTATCGTCCCAAGAAAACTCATCAGTGTCAATGACATAGATCATGCCAATAAATCCTCAAGTCATACCACTGAGGAACCTGTTGGGTCAAGCAATTCTACATTCACTGAGAGAGAATGAAAGCATCCAAGTTAAGCTACATATTGAAGTACAGAGTCAATGCACTTCGCACAGATTTACCAGCAGATTTGGATTTAAAATCTGCTAATTCGGATTGAAGGTGTGATGCCATACAATAGCATGAAGCCACCACTAAGAAGGGATGACTAGTGTTCACAGGTGCAGAACACAGCCAAGAGGAAGTTACCTGGTCCAGAGATCCAGGATACTGCATAAAAGAAGGTAATCATTTCAACAGGATAGCCATCCTCTGAGAAGGGTCTTATAGATATTGCAGTGGAGCACTCGGCTGTTTCAGCAAGACATCCTCAGCAAAGAGAATCCTAGAGACAAAAGGTCACTCAGTTTAAAGGGACTCACAGAACACACAATGTGAAACACAGAATCAAAGTCAACTGTTTTCAACACAGACACATACCAATCTTCCTTCTCTAAAGGGAACATATTCTGACAGAATAGGGAAACCTGCAGGCTGCCTGAACTTGGGAAATCAGAAACTTGTGGAGCAAATGGGGTAGTGATAAATGTAATTATATACACACATGTTAATAATGGAGTACAGAGCTTCTGGGGAGATGTTGGATAAGGATGTAAGTGTTTGAAAGGGTTACAGCTGAGTTGCATTATGTTGATGTCACATGGACTCGGATGGGAGAGCAGCTTTGACTCCTAAAGGACTGAGTGGTGAGTATGTAGTGTCCCTTATAGTCACTGAAACACAGTCTATCATACCATGTAATAAAATGCAAACAGTGACATATTGTTTCAGAAGAAACCTTCCTCTCATTAGGCTTAAGGATGTTTTCCTCTACCACACTGGACCAAACAGGTCCTGTAGATCCCTACAAGGTGGTAGCAAATCTCCTCAATATAGCACCATAAGAAACGGGAAGAGGAATGGACCATTTGCCCCCTCAAGCCTGCTGTGCTGATCATTGCTGATCTGACATTCCTCATGTTCACTTTCCTGCTCTTTTCCCATAATCCTTGATACTCTGACTGATCAAGAATCTAGCCTCAGAAGGACTCTGCTCTTACAGTTTTCTGTGGCAAGGAGTTCTCAACCCTCTGAGAGAAGGGATTCCTCCTCATCTCAGTCTGAAATTGGTGCCCTATTATTCTGAGACTATGCTGTCTGGTCCTGGACTCCCCCATGAGGGGAAACATCCTCTCAGCATTTATCCTGTCAAGCCCCTTAAGAATCCTACATGTTTCAGTGAGATCACCACTCATTCTTCTAAACTCCAGTGAGTACAGTCCTAACCTGTTTAGCCTTTGCTTATGAGACAATCCCTCCATAACTGGGATCACCCTACTGAACCTTCTCTGAACTGCCTCCAACAAAATAATATCTTTTGAGTACTCACAGTACTCCAGATGTAGTATCACCAGCACCTCGTACAGTTACAGTAAGATTTCCCAACTCTAAGACTCAACCCCTTAAGTAAGGGCCAATATTCCATGAGCCTTCCTTATTACCTTGCTGCACCCTTGTGCTAGCTTTCTGCATTTCACGCACAAGTTCCCCCCAAGTTCCTTTGTGGTGCAGCTTTCTGCAGGTTCCTCCGTTTAGATATTTGTTCTCCCTTCCAAAATGAACAACTTCACATCTTCTCACATCATATTCTATTTGCCAACTTTTTGCCCACTTAGTGACCCATCAACATCTCTCTGCACACTATTTGTATCCCCCTTACACCTTGTCTTTCTTACACAATGATAATCTATGGTCAGGATTCACCTTACAACACAAAGCTATACAACCCCCGATATTTTCACGAGACTCAGACAGTGAGCCCTGCAGCGTTATGCAGCCAGAACAGCAGATACAAAGGTATGGCACTAACAGTTACCCATTATCTACACAATATCAACAGCATACCAGGCAGACCGCCCACATTTACACTTTCCTTTCTTTTTTGAAAGACAGGAAACATAAAACCAGAATTTCATATTCAAGTCAAAATTAATAGTAAATTTATTTAGGAGTAAGATAATGATCCAGAAACGACTCAGCAAAAAAGGTAAAATCCTGCAACCAATGCAACTCATGAATTGCTCTTAAAAGAAGAGACAGAGTTATTGACGTTAATTCGGTTGTTTTACCGTTCCTCTGGTCAATATTCACCTGATATTGATTTTGTATTGAACTTATATGGAGCTATTCCGTTGGCAATGAACAACAGGAAATCGTAAAGTTGTTGATCTTAGAACAGCTTCACTTGCAGTGAAACAAGTTCTTTTCTACGTTTAGGAGAATTAAGAGACCAGTCATTTCTATTCCTTAGTTAGGGAGTATTAAAAGAACCATGCCCATCTCAAAATTTGTATGCATTTGACACCTGAAAGAGATACAAATCACTTTTATTCAAGGCCTTGTTTATCCATCAAATCATTTGATCAACATCTGAGTCAAGTTTCTGTCTAATCTACAAATCAAAAAAAAACTGATCTGCAGTTGGGTTCCAGTTACTTTGTGGTTGATAGAAAGGGGTAGCTGTCATCTTAGCTCAAGCAATTTTTGAAGTACATTGACCCAGTTTATCTCTGATCTTTACAAATCGACATTA